TTTTGCCCCTTTTGTACCAGCTGCGTATCATTTAAACACTGAGCATTGTGGCTGACCATGTCCGCATGACCGCAGTGTACCCATCATGTCACAAAGCTCAGATCATTTCAAACTGCTTTCTTGAACACATCAATGAGTCACCAGATCTCAGTCCAACAGAATACTTTTGGGTTGTGGTGAAACAGGAGATTCACATCGTGTAGTACGTGCACTTACCTGCACACCAACACATGGGCGCAAGGGAGACGCCTTGGAAATTTGCACATTCTGACTCTTAGGATAATTTCTACAAGCGTTCACGTGTGCAGGAGATGTGTGAGAAAAGGTTTAAGAAGCACGCTAAACTTACACATATTGTGCTAGTGTTCAGTGATAACAATGTCGTAACATCTGAGTCTAAAGTTGTGCTTTGGTGCTATGAAAAAAATGCGAGTAACTGTAATTTTAGTGGAGAAAGTTTGACAGGACGGCTCTGTTTGACTGCTCACTTGTATGGTGTTACAGACAGCCTCACATTTGAAATGCTATATTCTAATGGTAGTGCACTGTCGCTTGACAGTAAAAAGCCATTAACTACTGCTATTAGTCATGCATGCTTTTGCAAAATAAATAAACAAAAAAATAAGTTGTTTACATGTAACATAAACATAAAAATGCAAATGCTATCTGTGTGTTATGAGCATTCCAGTGAGCCTCAATTAATGCTGCTTCGAAGCGAAAGTGTGCGGTATATATTTGGCTTCTTAATTAATATAATTATAATATAATTATCCTGTACTTTGTGGGGCTGCGGGATAAACCTTTATCCGGTTGGCTTTCTCTTTGCATGACAAACACTCACACCTGCTCAGGTTGGACCCGGTCTCATCCAGACAAGGTCATTGTTGTTGACGCAGGAGTGTCTGAAGAGTCGGTGTTGGATGTCCTTAAAGGAGTAGAAACCACAGGTCTGCAAGAAGAGCTCAATCAGAGCTGCCTACCACCTAATCTCCTCTGTCAAGGCAACATTAAAGTTGCATTGGAATGAGGGAGAGCTCATGTGCCACCCAGCTCCGGCTGATTGAGGAAAGCCAAGCCCTTGACAGACACTTCATTTAGAGCCTAGTTTTAACATGAAATGATCCAGAGCTCTGATGAAATGGTGGAAAATTTCTAATATGTCTTTAAACGTTGTATGTGTGCAGTCATTCGCTTGGAAAATTCAAAGCTCTGTGTATCTTATCATCTTAAGAGCACCAAAAAGGACAGCCTTTTTCTTCTCTTTTCGCTTTTTTACTAGGGGATAAAGGAGAGTGCCGCAGCAGGGCGACCTGTAAATCCGCTCAAACAGTGCAAGTTATTGGCAAATCATTTTGTCAAAAAGGAGTTGTTGCTTGGGGATGTAGGGAGAAAAGAAAGGCCTGACAAGCATATAAACATTTGTTGCACATCTAAGCCGGGACATCAGAGGAGTCGATTCTTTCAGCCAGAGTGGAGGGCCACGCATGTCAGAGATCAGCTAGATTAAAGAGGTCTCCAAAGTGAGCTATTAATCGCTGCGTCTTTTTTGTTTATATTGATAGAAGCTAATGTGATTTGGCTAAAAAATAATAATAATAAAAAAAGAGGGGATGAGGGCAGTAATGGATCAGTCCTTAACTCCTAAAACACAGGATAGACAGAGAGATAGAAAAAGAGACGGAAGAGATATTAGAGCTGCACAAAGTAGAGGCTGATCTTTTTTGCCAGCATATGGGTGCACAATTGGGTCAGGAGATAAGCAAGCCCCCGTGGACTGTGGACAGATGCAATCCATCTCTCGCTGCGTTGATGTCCTCCCCCATCTTGTCTCTCTCGCAGGCAGGCAGGGACCAGACCATGACCTGTGGAAAAACGGTTGTGCCTTTAGGATGCAGACGAACGGTGAGGATGATGCCTGGATGCTAGCGAGGTTTCCCTGCTTTCCTGACATCTGCTTTCATGAGATATCAATAGGAAGGAATGTGATTTTGCTGAGAGGGTTGAGGCGAGTCCAAATCAAAAAGATATCCACTGCAGCTCGCTGAGGTGCGCTGGAAAGTCATCATATTTTAGCTTTAAAGGCAAAAGGTCACATTTTAAAGTGGATATAATTCAAAAGTTAGACATTTCTAACCACCGGTAAGGCAATGATGCACATGTATGCAAATTTGCACTTTTCTGTGTGCATGTCAGTGTGTGGATTTGTCACGTAAAAATGATGGCTGCACTGTAAACTTTGTGCAGGTCAGCGATTCTGTGGTAATGATGAGCAAGGTGTCTGTCCTTTGGCCTGCTGCCTGGAAATCACATTAGATTAGACTGTCAAGCAGGGCGGAAGGTGTAGCGGTGGGTGGGGTGGGTGTATGCCGTGCTTTTTTAGAAGGGACGTGGTGGGATTTTCACAAAGCACATCAGTCACGCCACTCGCATCTAGCTCTGATCCGGGAGTAAAATCATCTCAGTGTGAGAGCTGCATTATAATAAATGTCAATATGAAGTGCAGGAGTGAGTGTCATCTGTATATTATCCACTCGCCAGCCTGTTTTGCTCCACAGGGGGAAGAGCGGCCCTATTCTCTGCAACACAGAAGTCTAATCATTTCATAGCTGGGTAATTAATTTTCAGTTTTCGCCTTTGCTTTATTTATTACTTCCATATTCCTGATTATGGATTTTGTTTCCTGTGAGGGACTTTCTATTAGCTGATATACAGACATGGTGAAAATCAAAGATTCACTCAGTTTGTATTACGTGTATTATTCCAGTTTGTAAATAAATCAGTATGAGCCGATGTATTCAGACTGCTTGTTCCCGAGCTTTCTGTTACGTGCCTGCTGTGCCAACTATTTTGTTACAGTTAATAAGATTTAAGAAGCTTGAAATGTTAAAGAAGAAAAAAAAGAAGAAGAAGGAGAAAAAAAACAGCGCGTGAAAGTGAAATCATTTTCCTTCTTTTCTTTTTTTAATCGATCATGTATGAATCAGCTACATGTACAGATTATGACAGAATTCAACAACAAGTACAATCTTTATTTGCCACACACACAGTCATGCAGAGTACAACATGTAGTGAAATGCTTGTGTCCAAACTGTGGACAGGCTGCAGACGTATCCACGCCATTTCAGGGCTTGGTTTTAGCATGGTGGGGGTCTAGCCAGGACCCTTACTGGACACAGGGTGGGAATGGAACTTGCGACTCTCGCTCCAAACGTGTAGTCTTCCAGCAGCCATGGATTATTAGCCGTGAAAATTTCATTTAAAAAAAAAAAAGCATTTCCCAAGTCCTGTTAAACAAAGCAAGGAATTTTTTAACACAGTTTTTATTTTGAATACTGACATTATGTTACAGTAGTCTGCAAACAGAAACAAAAATTTCACAGGGTCAAAATGCAAAAAGTCAGTTTTTTCTCCTTTTAGCTGGACAACAGCTTGCAGTCATTTATTGTAGTTTCAATAAATGTCTCCTGAGCAATCTCAGGCTGTTCCTCCTCGGTCACCCCACAGATTTGCTTCGCTACCGTCAATAAGACCAGTGTTCACTTTGGTTTCCTGAAGCTTATTCTTCATCCTCAGCGACGTATGTTTTAGGTCATAGTTGTGTTGAAAGACAAAACGATGAACAACGCCCAGTTTTGCTGCTGACTGCTTGAAGTTCTTCTTTTAACATCTTCACTAATTCTTTTCCCTTCCAGCTTTACGAGATTCCCTGTACCAAACTCACTGAAGCATCCCACAGCATGATACACCCACCGCCATGTCTCACTGTGGGAAACAGCTCTAGTTTCATCTCATGACCAAAGGATGTGCTTTCAGTCACTCTTTGTTCAACTTGTCTTTAAAATGCTTCTGCAGAAGTGGAGTCCCAGCTCAAGTAATGACTGGAACCATTGCTGAAGTTTCTATCTATCTATCTATCTATCTATCTATCTATCTATCTATCGATCTATCGATCTATCGATCTATCTATCTATCGATCTATCGATCTATAGATCGATAGATCGATAGATATTAAAAAAAGTAAAGGAAATTTTTGACAGAAACTTTACATTTCTAATAATAATTTTGTCCTCATCTGCATGTTTCCAAGCAGGGTGCTGACTCGCAAGGTGAGTCAATTTTCTCCTGCAAGCTAATCAATATGCAGATTACAGATGAACTAGATAAGGAAAAAATGTGCTATTTTCTACTGTTCAAAGTAACACATTGGCAGCAACTTGATTTTATTGGTGTATCTCTCTGGTGATCTGATTGGAGCTCATGGGACTGATAGGCACCCTTTATCCGGATTAAAGCATCTCGACTGTACACCCATCCACCACAGTTTGCTAATCCCAAGCAAATAATTCCCTAATAGCCACACACGCATAGACACAATCTCACACACAAGGGTGCTGGTGAAAACCCCCCCAAAAAAACATCTGTCACTTTAGTAGTCTGCTTATCTGGCCCAGCCATGGCAGTACTCTCCCAAGTGAGCACAAAGGCAGCAGTGGTGTTTTATGTTCTGCAGATGAGTTTGCTGATAGCCACACTGCTTCAGCCTCAGTGCTGTTCAAACAGTGAGAGAGCAGCGATAACCAGGGTCACTGTCTCTTATTGCACTTCTGTAAAACACAGACAAAGGACATGCCATTGGAGGTAATTAATGGTTCGTGTGACACATGTAGCCACACAGTAACAACGTTTGGTTCAATTGGTCTGACTAAACACCACCCTCGCCGCCACCTCCACACACGCACTCCCTCTCGTGCTCTCCCTCCCACACCCACACCTTCCAAAACGGACCCCTTCAATCCACCCGGCAACCTCCTCCCCCCCTTTTCTTTTCTTCTTCTCACACTTTGTGGGCTAAGCTGCATGCTCACTGTCCCGAAACGTGATGAACCATCCAGCCCTATGGGAATTTCTCCTCCCAGTTTGCTAGCGTCAGCTACATCTGTGTCTGTGTAGTTCCAACAGCAGCAGCAGCAGCAGCAGTGTGGCAATGGCAGTGACTTGGCTCAGGCATCAGACTGGCTCTCAGTGACATTCTGCTTCAACTTGACTGAGAGGCAGCACCGTTTCCACTCAGCTCAGACAAGCAGGGAAACTTCTCTCCTGCTTTTATTCTTTGGCTCTGGCTTAGATTCTTATTTAATTTATTAATGCCAGAGGAAGGATCCCTTGCAACTTTAAGGATACTTGTCTCATCTGGACAGACCAGACCGCTTTGGACAGCTGAGAATAATGTGATGCTGTACGCTGCGCCTCTTGAGCAGGGATGACTGAAATCTTCCGGTACCCACCCTCCTCCTCCCACTCTCCGTCAGCTTTCTCCTGAGCCTCTGCGTTCACACTTTTCCCCAAGACCCCTCCGGCACGCAAGGGTCAAGTCAGCAGGATTTCTCATCCACCACAATCCTCTCTCCAACTGTGTTGTGAGCCTGTTCCTCAGCACCATACTTGAGGAGAAAGGCTTCCCAAGCAAAACAAAGGGATTAAAAATGAACTTTGCTCTCACCAGGAGACACGGTCTTCCCTTAAACAGAAGACTGTGAGATCTGATGAAAGTCAACTGTGAGTATTCCTCTTTTTTCCCCCCTTTACATCAGTGGTTTGTTTCACAGTCTCCTGAGAATCATGCCCTTTCTGATTAATGCACAAAGGCATGACCTGGATTCAAGAGGAAATAGCATCATGTGTGCACAAGTGCATGTCTGAGAGGTCTCGGCATGTTTTTTTAATGTAGCCTTTTACCTTAATGAATGCAGCAGAGCTCCCAAAAAGATGTGTACATTTATTCTTCAGGCAGACATGCTGTCCAGAAAAGCACCATACACTACACTATATGTGCATCTATTAGCCATATGTCAGTTGTTTTATAAAAGTTGCTGCTCCTAATTATTGCTAAGTCAATAAAGCCTTGACTCTTCACATATCTTAATTATTTTCTCCTTAATTGCTTTGGAGTTTTAATTTTAGATTCCTGAATGCTTTGATAACCTACACACATTTTTATGTAGACGCTTAATCTGTCTGTAGTTGTGCTGTTTTATTGCACAATCATATTTCTACCCCACACCATCTCCTCTCCAGCCCTCCAATCACCGTCTTTAGCCTCGTCTTAAAACATCTGATAATAGCGCATATATTTGATTTTCTTCTGCACACTTCTAAAATGTTTAATTCATCTTCTTTAGTTGAATTAAACAAGCAAAGAAAGAAAAAAAGGCATTTTGATTCACTTCCACAAAGCCAATCGATCTTTTCCTTCAAAAGCTAAAGCTCTTTTCTTCCCTTCCCCTCTCTGATTAACTGGAAATGACAAAACAGAGAAGGATTAAGCAGCGAAGCGTGATTTTAACGAGTGCTTCCTGTCCCCACAGACCTTGTGAGGTGTTACAACAAACGTTGAGAGGTGCTCGTGCTCTTGAGAAAAATCCTGGAAGCAGTTACCATGGAACAGTAATGGCAATGTTATGGACGAGTAGTCTGTTTTACCACCAGAAACGTCCACTCTTGTATTAGTAAAATTAGGATTTTATGGTGAAACATTTCACGTTTTCAACTTGGGAGTTTTCATGCTCAGATGTACCATAAAGAAACCTGCCATCATCCATGTAATGGTGTGCAGTCTCACATGTGTTCCTCCCTCAGCTGCTTGGTTCTTCCAATATCTTTTGTTGTGCAGACAAAAGTAATATCAGCGCAGAGGAAATGGGGCGAGTTGGGAACAAACATCAGAAAACCCAGAGGCACAAACGATATTTAGCAAACTCTTCACACAAGAATTCAAATGAGCCAGATCATTATCCAAATGATGGGGTCTTAATGAAATGTTGTAGTCACTCATAAAACAGTACTCACTGTTATTGTTTTATTCCCTCCAGTAGCTGCCAAATCTATGCACATCACAATATTCGCCTTACGATCGTGGTCCTCATTTCTCACGGGAGGAAAGCTGTAATTTAACTTGTGCTGGTTTGAAAAACAAAACTGTTAAGCAGCAAAACTCGTATTTTGATCTTTTCCTTTAGCTGATTTTATCCTACACAATCATCCTTTTACCGCTAATGCTTAAATATCTGTGCTTGGCAGCAGTTCTTAATGTGAATATTTTTATTTGTTCTTTCCCCGTCAGTGGCACAAACGTGATTCAAGCAATATCGTAGAGCCACCCTCCTCTTCCAGAATCGAGAGCTCTTAGCAATAGTCCAGTGAGCTGACTGCAAGCCATCAGCTCTGGGCTGATTTGCACATCGCCCATCATGCAGATGCATGCCCTACAGTATGGTTGCCTCTGTTTGCTTTCCCTTGACTTGTCTCTGTGTTGCTTTCTCTTCCTTCTGATGATCACTCTCATGTCCTTTCCCTTTTACTAATGCCACACACGTGCTATTTGAGTTTGTGCTTTTCGCTGTGCTGTGCATTTGTGTTTCCACCAAAGGACAATGTAAAGAAAGGTTACCTGTGACTAGGAGGCTCGGTGGGGGCAGTGTATGAGGCTGCTGCACAGGAGCCCTGATGGCGAGGTGCCAGAGGACCTGCAGGAAGCCAGCCTTCGACCAGATTTGTGCTACCTGTGTGGACTCACACTGTTAATCACTGGATCAATGACCATTACTTATGCATACCAACACAATATTTGAGAGAATGGTCTGATAGCCTTAGTATGTATAATTAATAAGGGAGACTCAGTTTCCTTGGCAAGAGCAACACGATTTCTTTGCACCACTGTTTGGAGCTGATGCCCTCTTTTCTCCTCTTGTTTAAAACCATAATTTAAAAGCTTTTTGTAAGTTCAAATCAAACATTTTTCAAACCTCCCCTGTGTCACGGGGTCACAAAGCTTGCCTACTCCCCAGTGTACGTCACATTTGATAACAAGCTTCATCCATAAAAAGCTCCAAAAACAGGACACAACAGACGATATTCACTATTTATAGTGAGGCAGAGGCCATGTTTACTCCACAGTCTGAGTTCTGAGTGTACCATTAAAATGCTTCCTGCTTCGATTTAGAAGCTATTAGCGGGCTTGACTTGTTCTACCACTTGAGGTCAAGCAGCAGAACAAGTCTATTCTTTGTGTGTGTGCCTGTAAGCCTAGAACACATCAGTCATCAGTGAGTCAGAAATATCTCTGTGCACCTATCATCATTAATTCATTCTTTTCTGAAAAAGGGTAATCAGATTGCTTGCATCACAAAATTGGAAAAACTAACAGAAAAACCAAAGACAGCTAAGAAATAGTCCACGCCTGTGCGTTTTGAGAGTGTACCTGACTTATCTGGGCTACGCCAGCAAACATGTTCACGCAAGGCTGCCAAAGCTGTTATGTTTAGGGAGGGTAATATTTTCCAGGCCACATTAAATAGCCTATGACCATTGTAATAAAAAAATGTATCAGATGACTATGTGGAAAGAGTGTGTGCCTCTCATAGTGATTAATAAAGATTTATTAGCTATGGGCAGCGCTGCTCAGCTTTATAGCTTCAACCAACCGTTAGGGTGTCCACTAGTAAATGTAACATTTATACTCTCACTTACCATCATTTGTGGCAAAAACACACGGCTGTTTCAGGAAGAAATGGGAAACAAAATAGAAGATGTGACCATAGATTGGATATTGTTTGCAGGATTAAAAAGTAAGCCATGAGAGAAGCGTCTTAAACCCGCATTCTTCTGCAAGAAGCTAAAAGTACCCAAAACGACTTCCAGTTAGTCATGGTGAAAGTGCGCCCTCTTTCTCTCATAAGGTTTCACGGATCAGGACATAATAAAAATCATCTGGCCCTTGGCAGATGAAAATTGGGTAAATACAACCTTAGATTAACCCTTTTAGAGGAAATTTAGCTAAAATGCACAGAGACCTTATGAAAAACTCAGTACAGCCTTACTGTTTCCATAGGAGTTAAGAGGGTAAGTAGCAGCCAGGTACTGCTTATTAAATACACTCGATTAACTGATCATCAGAAATTGTGAGCACCTCTATAAAAGAAGAGATTTCGGCAGTTTGCTGGTCAGATGTGTTAACAGAATTTGCAAGAAGGAAAGACGTCAGCAACAACATCAGTCTGGATATAAATATAAGGTCATTTAGAACCAACTGGAAGTCTGTCATTCTACAGAGAGAAAGATTATTCACAAGTGAAAAACAATCAAGACAGTTGCCAACTTTCCACGAGTGGACGTCACAGCACACGCCAAGGTCAGACTGTGCAATGCTCAGAGAAATTGCAAAAAACCTCCCAAAGGCTACATCTCACACCCTACAGGCTTCAGTTAGCATGTTAAATGTTAAAGTTCCTGACAGTACAACTAGAAAAAGTCTGAAGAAGTACGGCTTGTTTACAAGGTTTGCCAAAAGAAAGCCTCTTTTCTCTAAAAAGAACATGTCAGCATGAGTTAGCATGACTTGCAAAGTTGTTTCTGAACAAACTAAGACTTCTGGCACCTTTTTCTATGCTTAAGTGTTTTCTAACATTCACACTCTTATGGATGCATCTAACTTAGGGTTAATATTTTGCTCAAGGATATTTTGCCTACAGACTGGAGCAGTCAGGGAGTGAACGACCAAACGTCTGATTTCTGGGGGACCTGCTCTGCCTCCTGAATAACTGCCACCCCAAAGTGATGTGGCTCAAAGACCCCAACAGTGGAGATGTTTGGCCATAATGCAAAGTGCCACATTTGGTGAACATGAAACACAGCATATCAGCTCATAGTGTCCGAGTGGTGGAGGGTTTGAGGGGTGATGATTTGGTGTTGTTTTGCAGGGACTGGACCTGGGTACCTTGCAGTTAACTATGAACACCTGTGTATACCAAAGTATTTTAGAGACAAGTGAGAGGCCATCCAAAGCGTGCCAAAAATGAGTCAGGAGAGACCACCTACAACCAGCAAATCTCCAATAGAATGGCTGAAAAACAAAAGAATCAAGATATTGCAATGGTCAAAGTCCAGACAGTCTAAAGTTAAGCAAGGACCTTCAGAGAACTGTGCATAAAAAAATGCCTCAATGAAATGAAGCATCACTGTATAGAACAGATGGCCAAAATTCCTCCACAATGATGTGAGAGACTGTTACAGTCACACAGAACACAAAAACTCCAAGTTATTGTGGCTAAAAGTGATTCAACAAGCTATTTAATCATGGGATATAGTTCGTTTTTCATTTTTCGTTTTAGTCTTTGTTGAATAAATAATTACATGGTATAATATGTCATATGTTGTTGTTTATCTGAGGTTATATTTGCCTAATTTTAAGACCAGCTCAGAACCAGATAATTTTTTATCATATCCTGATATGTGAACCCTTAGAATTAAGGGTCGGTGCCCGATACCATGACTGAATATAGAAGTCTGATTAGTTCGTGGTCTCAGTTGCCAGCTTTTTGTGTCGTGACAAGTTGTAATACTGATTTTCCCAAAGCACTCCCATTTACAGTAAAATAGATGATGAAACAGTGTATACTTTAGGTCAGGCCTGCCTTGTGATTGGAAAGCTCTGACTGTTTGACACCTGGCTTCAAAACTCCAAGATGCCAACATTGGAAGCACTTAAAGACTTAACAGGACTTTACAAAATGACGCATGGCATCAAGGTGGCAACATATGTGCTGTTTTTACAGTCTATGAATGGAGCTTAGTTAATACCTAGCTTGTGAACGTGTTGGAAGTTTAAGCAGCAGAATTACTTTGTGTTTAGCAGACCATAAAAAGAAACCAACAGGGAGTGAATATGGACTCCAAATGACAGTGATGCTATTCAACATGTTACTTTTGTCGTGCTACATTGACACTAACATGATGTTATCTGGAAGATGTTTACTGAGGCTGACATTAGTTGTCATTTTTTGTGTAATGAACATTGACAAATTGATCCATCTTTTGATGGGATCACACTAGCTGCAAAGTCAATTCAGTGTCTTATTTTAGCATGTTAGTGTCTCCAGTCTTAGTATATTGGCTACTGATAGTTGATTGATGCTATAAAAGGTCTAAAAAAGGAAGCCAACAAAGAAATTCCATTAACCTACATTATTTTAAATGGCCCACAGGGGACACTCTGGTTTCCAAAGACTTCTGGTTATATTGAAGTCCAGGAGGCACCTTGCTCTATAATCTCAATAAATAATTTCATGTTGACTTTATGGATTAAATTACTAGTCATAGGTTGAAATCACTAGAACTTTAGGTTGATTTTGATTACAAGAGTCAGAAATGTGAATTATTAAGATTTGTGGACTGAAGTCGTTAATCCTCAGTTTCACAGGAGTCACTGGTCACTCATCACATCAAGATTAAAAACACTAAGATGGTGATGGCAAAAACTCTCTCAGCTTGAGGCTTGTTATGGGAGTGGGTAATGTCTTTGGACTTCGGGAGGAAACCAGAGTACTAGAAGAGAACCCACTCAAGCTCAGGGAGAGCATGTAGTCTCCACACACAAGGGCCCCAGCTGGCCGGTGGGTTTGAACCCTCTTGCTCTGAGGCGACAGCGCCAACCACAGCATGCCGCCCATATTTGAAATTTGTAAATAGTTTATTCAAAGCAGGGTAATGATGCAGGGATTCGAGTAATGTGATATGAAATGCTATTCTATAACAAGATGAGGGACATTTGAAGTCCTGCCGGAGGACTCCAACTGTCGCACCGTCACTGTAATGTTATTTGTGCGGGCCTCAGGCTACCACTGGCACTCCTGCTTACCTGGCACTGTCCAAGAAATGCCTGTGAATAAGAACGTTATTTCTCAAGTGAGGTTGTGATTATATCCAGAGAATTACATTGCGGACAGCGATACATCTCTTTCTGGAGGAGTTATCCACCTGAGCGTGACGTTAAGAGAAAGTTTCCTTTTACCCGAGCTCAGGCTCCAGCAGCATTTTCCAGATTAGGCTGAAACATGGAATGTTTAAAAAAATGTTTTTTTTAGAAGGATCACAAAATAATCTCAAAATAACTCTGACAAAGTCATTTTAAGTAAACTGGGGTTCAACGACTTTAGATTCAAAGATTTAAACAATTTTTTGGGATACTGTTAGATATCTACATTTGGTTATTTACTTAGTAAATGAAAGTAGTCTTTTAGTCCAGGCTTAGTCAGCTAAAACATAAATGCTTGTATACGTGTCTGAAACCCAGTTCCACAACACTGACTGCTGTCCTAGCTGTGCCTGTGTTTTGGAACAGGCTGGCTGAGAGGGTAATATGTAAAGCTGTCTGTACCTACATGTGTGCCAGTACTCTGGCTGACAGCCTGAGGCTGCATTTGCTGCTACCCACATGGAGGTTATCTGCACTGAGTTCATTGTTGCTCTGCACTGAGAGTCTCAGAGCATCTGCACCTCCCCGATGGTAGATTCACCATATGCCGTAGCTGTATTATTTTCAGTCGAACAGAATAAGTGTGAATTTGAACATAAAGTTTTAGAGTTTGGAAGGTCGTACACAGGACACAGATGCTGGGCTGTAACATGGCGATTTCCTAATTTTAAGCAGACCAAGTGGCAGGGATGAAAATACCAGTGCCGTGGTGCCCAGTTGGCTGCAGCATTTCCTGAGGGAAGACTGACCGCTCTAGAAAGATAGAGGGAACGACAGCCTATTAACTCGTGGAAACAAGAGAAAAACTAGTGCCTCACAGCCAAGTAGCATTTATATATAAACAAATAGTCTACATGAATGGGTATGAATCCTTATCAGTTGTATATGCAAATATATTCAGTTTCACAGGATTTAATCTTGCTTCAGTAGATTTCAAACTGATCAAAGTCAGCGGAAGACGGCACAGATGTGTTTGTACTCCATGATAGACGAGGCATCAAGCCATAGCCATTTCCTACGGGCTTTGGGTGGATAGCCTCACACTCGCTGTTAACTGTAGTTTCCAGCACAGAAGAACATTTTCACCTGGTCTAACCTGAGAGGGAGGAACCCTGTATGTTGTGAGCTTCCATGTGCATGTGCGATTTTTCACTGTGATCAGTTGTGAATTAATAGCTGTAGTGGTCACTTACTGTCCCTGCGTTCATATGCTACTTTCCCCCCCTACATCCAAGAAAATGCCTTAGCAGGAGAAACCAAGCTAATGATCAAACATCAGGTTTGCCTACTTGTTAATTAAATGCGGTCCATCCTAAAAATGACAACAGACTGATACATGCAAATAAGCTGACAGCAAGTCTCAAGTGTATGCAGGCAATTACTACTTATACTGGATCTGTGAAATGATATATAATATATGTATAAATTAAACATCTTCCAGCAGATTAACGCTCCCTCCAAAAACATGTTAAATTGACAATCATGTCGACTACACACAATGCATGTGACTAGTAGCGCCAACAACCTTTCCAAGCATCTGACAATTGTTTGTAGGCTCGGGCCAATCACAAGCAGCAAATGTGTAACATAGTAAGTACACAAAAATAATAGATCATCACTTGATAGGTCTGCTCCATTCTGTTGGATATAAATTGATATTGCTTTATAAATAAATGTACTTATTTACTTATGCAAATATATTAGGCGCTTCGAGTAGGGATATTTAAAATACTGTTTTATTTACACATGTAAAAGAAACTTGTTATTACAAATAGAACATATTTGTATGTGAGCGAACAATTCGTTTCTCAACAAGAATCTCAAAATGCAGTGAATATCTGTCAGAGAAGGATGATTACTAAAATATTCACTCTAAAACTACAAAACTACAATCCCCATCATCACTTGTCTGTTTCAGAATTTCAGTTTTAACACAAGATAAAATCATTTGTCCTTTTTTGCATTTTGTCACAGACACAAACATATCAGCCTCAGTATTAACACCCCAACATGAATTTAAGTCCAGGTTTGACTAGTTCATGTACACTCAACTGCTGCCATCTAGTGGCAGACATACAGAGTAATGCTTCTTTTCTTCTTTTTTTCAGGAGGGCTTAGTGGAAATGACAAACCTGGTAATAAAAACTCCTGCGATACTTGGATGCCAATAACCAGGAGAAGGCCATGGAAGGAGAAAACATGAACTCCACAGTAAATACCAGCACGATGGATATCCACCTGGTCACCCACAGTCTCTGGGAGGTGATCACCATTGCAACTGTCTCGGCTATAGTCAGCCTCATTACCATTGTGGGGAATGTTCTAGTAATGGTCTCCTTTAAAGTCAACAGCCAGCTGAAGACAGTGAACAATTACTACCTGCTGAGTCTGGCAGCTGCAGATCTCATCATAGGTGTTTTCTCCATGAATCTATACACCTCTTACATACTGATGGGTTACTGGGCCTTGGGAAACCTCGCCTGTGACTTGTGGTTGGCATTGGACTACGTAGCTAGCAATGCCTCAGTCATGAACCTGCTGGTGATCAGTTTTGACAGATATTTCTCCATCACCAGGCCTCTAACTTACAGGGCCAAACGGACTCCTAAACGAGCTGGGATCATGATAGGTTTAGCGTGGCTAGTGTCACTTGTTCTGTGGGCCCCGCCTATTCTCTGCTGGCAGTACTTTGTTGGAAAGAGGACTGTACCCGAGAGGCAATGCCAAATCCAGTTTTTCTCTGAGCCTGTAATTACTTTTGGGACAGCTATTGCAGCCTTTTACGTCCCTGTATCTGTCATGACAATCCTCTACTGCAGAATCTACAAGGAGACAGAAAAGAGGACCAAAGATCTTGCAGAGCTTCAAGGGATTAACTGTTCTACAGAGTCTGGGGTGGCTCAGCCTCAGAAAACCATCATCAGATCTTGTTTTAGCTGTAAACTAAGTTCAGCATCACAAGACAGGAACCAGGCCTCGTGGTCCTCCTCAACCAGGAGCAACGCGGTCAAATCAGCGGCCACCACCAGCGATGAGTGGTCCAAAGCTGGTCAGCTGACCACCTTTAACAGCTACGCCTCCTCTGAGGACGAGGACAGGCCAGTGTCTCCAGGAGGCTTCCAGACCTCCTTCGGGAACCAGGCTTGCAAAGCCACCAAGAGTGGCGTATGCAGCGAGAGCGAGCAGCTCAGCAGCTACGATGAAGAGAGTTTCTTTCAGACGCCACCCAAAAGCAACTCCCAGAAGAGCAGCAAGTGTGTGTCCTACAAGTTTAAACCAGTGACCAAGGAAAGTCACACGGAGCACCAAAGCAGAAACGGAGACACGAAAATCACGTCGCCAACATTCTCCTCGGCCGAGTCCATGAGCGTTCCGTCCACCTCCACCATGTCCAAGCCCATAGACACAACGCTGAAGAGCCAGATCACCAAGAGAAAAAGGATGGTGCTGATCAAGGAAAGAAAGGCAGCTCAAACTCTCAGCGCCATCCTGCTGGCCTTCATCTTAACATGGACTCCTTATAACATCATGGTGCTGATTTCTACCTTCTGCTCTCAATGCATCCCCGTCTCCCTCTGGCACCTGGGCTACTGGCTGTGCTACGTCAACAGCACCGTCAATCCCATGTGCTACGCCCTTTGCAACAAGACCTTCCAAAAGACCTTCCGCATGCTGTTACTCTGCCAGTGGAAAAAGAAAAGGATTGAAGAGAAACTATACTGGTATGGACAAAACCCTGTGGTCAGCTCTAAAATGACATGAAGAAGTTGTGAGACAGTGGCTGTAAATCACATGTTTGCACCAATAACTTTGGCTTTATGAACTTGTGCATACGTATTAGGTGATATCAAAAGATATCCAGAGCCTAGTACATCTTATAGTGCTGCTCATTAATCAGTAGGTTTGCTATAGTGTATGGTAATTGCTGCTGGAAGAATATTATATATTTTGTACACTGTATGTAGGGTCAAAAATATACAAAGCAAACCAGTATTTTTCTCCAAGTTGAAGCACATTTACGCCATTGATTTACACAGCAGCACACTTTGATATATGGAGACCATCGTGAAGTTGCTCCAGTCTAAAAAAGTCAAGCTGATGCACTCATACCCAAAATGTCACAAGACACACAGAGCTCTTTAATTCTTAAAGTATTGTGCTTGTACTGATGAGGTGTATTTCCAAATGGCTGTCGTTGTTTTTATTTAAAAGGGCTAATATGCTTCATCGTGATGTCGGACTCTTGCTCGTTAAGTCAAGACACTTACTTGATGTTCATGAAAGCCTTTTAATGTGTGCCACTGTAATTTGTCCAATGAATAAATGTGTAGAGAGTCAGCTTTATTGTTTTGTCATCACTTGCTATGATTTTCATGTCGTGCGAAATCCCAGTGCAAAATACGGTTATAGGAATCATGCGTAAAAGGCATTAATGGATCACTTGAGTTTACCGATTGGGAATAACTAACTTGTTAATAATATCAGTGTTTACATTGGAAGTTTTGTGGAGGATTTAACAGCTCACACTGTTTATGAATTCTCTTTATTACATTTTATTCTCAGGATATTTTTGTTTTCATTAAGCATTGAACTACAGTATGTTTTACTGTGGCTAAATCAATATCACTGTATTTCTGGCAAACTTGTAATGTACTGTGGAAAATATGTTGGTGCGCTGCTCCTTTGTGTACCCACTGAATGGAAGATGCCTTGCACAGGCTATTTTTTTTTTTTATCTGTCATAAGCTATAATGCCATGAAACACTTCTTGGTAACTGTGATAAACCAGGAGTCTGCACTTGCAATTTTCAGAAAGAAAAAAACACAACTAAAAAACATGCTTTGCTTCAAGTATACTGACTTGGTGTGTGATGGAAACAAAGCTAGAGCTAAATCTGTACTGCGACTTTTTACTGTATTTCAAGTTTGTGATGCGTTTTTGTTTCTTTTCAGTATTTTGTGATCATGTCCATGCATTTTTGAATAAAATATGGTCAATAGAAGGTCCAGTAGTCACTACAAGAAAATCCCTGATATCACCCATTGTTGTGTTTAATGACAAAAACTCAAATCTGGCACAAATCCTGGGAATGACGTCCTTATAGCTCATCCTTCTTGCAGTCTCCACTCTGAATCAGTTTCACTGTGTCAGAAGGTCTCACCATCATCCATGCATACTTGCACAGCCGCTCCTTGTTGCAGTCTTTTTGCCAGTAGATGACATTTCTGCGATTCAGATTGGCGCCGGCGCAGGCGTCGTACCACCAGCCTCCTCCCGGCACCCCTTGAAACTCCAGTTTGGCACAGTTCTGGAAGTAGTTATCATTGTCTCTGTCTTTAGTGGTGAATTTCTGGTTGTCATGGAGATAGTTCTCTGTATCCAGCGTCAGAGCGTCTACGGTCGTTCCCTCAAACAACCCCAGTCTCAGTCTATAAGCTGATGCTTCATCCTCCACCAGGAATGGATCATACTCTCCCATCTTTGTGACGGCATCTTGGTCCACAAGTTTTATTCCTAGTTTATAGCGTGCAGGCCCACGGGTAAGCTGATGAAGGTAGTCATTCCCAAGCCAATGATCTCCAGTGATAAAACCAAAGCCTTTCTTATATTCAGCCCAAGTGCAATCAAAATTCACACTGCTATTCACAGTAATGTGCTGCACCACGGTCCAGCCTCCCTCCTGCATGGCACAGTAGGCCACAATGGGGGAGTCCCCTGGTTGGATCAGGTACACTCCATCTCTGGCCCGGCCTGAAGAGGCCATCAGCATTTCATAGCAGTCTCTGGGCAGCACTGTTGAGCAATTAAACATCAGTCATATCAATCAGGGCAATCAGAATTACTTTATAGCTAAGAATTAGGCAGGTTTATCATATACATCACACATCGAGTCTATTACTCCATTACTAGCTTTTTTGATAATTACCACATATTTGTTTTGTCTTCATTTAGTACAAAAAGGTTTAACGTGTGAAAATGACAGTTATTTCACAAAGTTTATGTACTGATCCTCGACTCAGTGGAGTAGCTTTCTAAATTCTGTAATATTATCGTGATTGAAATGTGAAATTTAAATAACTTCAACAAATTACAAGCTGCTAGTAGGTGAGCTTTTCAGCTGCACATTCGTTTTGAAGTCTTCAAAAGGAGACGCGGAAGCTTTGTTTGCTTTTCCCAGTTTTTACACCAAGCTAACTAGCTTGCTAACATTAGCGTCTAGCTTAGAGAAACAGAACCGCCCCCCAACTGTTTTTCAAATTGCCAAACAACTTCTTTAAACCCAATCCATGCACAATTTGGTTATGTCTAATTTAAGGACCCCTCAGGTGTTCAGTGAATAGTTGCGGTCTGGTACAAACAATGCAGGTCAGGAATTGTAGTGATGTCTGAAAATTTGCTTACCTTGTATTACTTTCCACCCAAGGCATGATTAGATTTAAACACAAGTGCTAAAAGTCTATAAAAAATCCAGTACTTTATGAAAATGATCATTTTATTTATTTGAGGGACAAAATATCAGATCTTCTACTTTTGGAATCTGGTTTATTGTGCAGCTGTTGTGCAGCAATAAATAGCTTTAAATAAATTTACACATGGCCCAGATGGACTACAACATGTCCAAACCATCATACTCCTTCAATTGTGCCTTGGAAAACATTTTTATGATGTCATGTTTCTTTTCTTCAAAGATAATCTTTCTAATATTACCAACAACCTTACGTGAACAGAAAGCTGTAGACAGGCAGAAATGTTGTTTTGAGAGAGCTGTGGCTTTCTGCTTGCAGCACTTGCAATGCACACTGCTCTTGTTCACTGTTCTCCTGATAATTTTCTTAAGAACATTAATATTAACCAATGTGAGAGAGGCCTTTACTTACAAATCACACTCTTGGAATAAAGTCTGCTGATCTGCTTTACATGGACAGGGTAACAATTCTGTCCAACATTTCTGAATGTGAAAGGACCGTCTGTCTGATCACATTCAAAAAATATGTTTCTGTACAAAATAATTTCTCAATGTTTCCCAGGTAAGCACAATAAAACATTGCTTTTCTAAAAGTTTTCTAATAGATTGCCTTTTAACAATGCACAAATAACCTCAGAGGACCTAATGCTTATCATCAGTGAGTCAATAAGCGATTTGGATCTAGAGGTTGGAATTAAACTCACATCCACAAGAGTAATCTTCACAGATAATCACAGATATGAATGTATTCAGCGTTTAAAAAAAATCAAATGATTTTCCAGACTAGTGTTTTGAAAATTCTCCCAAATCATGTTCAGCTTTTGTCCAAATCCACAACTGAAACAGACAGGAAAGAAAAGTCAAACAGGAAGTGAAAGCCTGCATAAATAAATACCTCTCATTCCACGGTTCAGGACCAATTTATGCTCATCTGGTGAAAGGAGATTTAGGTTTTCAGCTTGGAGATGCTCCATGTCAAGTCCAGTCACACTAAGCAGCAGCAAAACCACTGCTGGCGACAGGCATCTCAAATACTTCATCCTTTACTTTTTCTGTGATCAAACCAACAGCATTTTTTTAGTGATATGAGCTGATGTAACAAATACAAAACTCTATCCATCCATCTATTTTCCTCCGCGTATCCAGGCCGGGTCTCAGGGGCAGCAGCCTAAGCAGACAACCCCAGACCTCCCTCTCCCCGGCCACCTCCTAATACAAAACTGTGCTGAAGAAATATAAAATCAAAGCGCTTACATTAAGTAGAGCCACCTGTGTCCTGAAACACAGTGTAGAAATGTGTTGTCTGTACCAGAACCGTCTCCCACTCTGTATTTGTCTCCTCTGATCGAATGACAAGCAGCAGAAACACAAACACAATGGCCGACAGCTGAGTTCGGATTGAGAGACTGAATTGCAGTGCCCGTGCCTAGCTAGAGTTGGACTTTATCCTCAGGTTCACCTTAAAATGATAGACACCAGTCCTCGACTTATCTGTGCAAAGTGAGATAAAACCTACATTTGAACACATGTCTCTGCCTTACTTAAATCACTTCAACTGTGAATGAGGTTTAAAGTCCAGCTGAGACTGAACTCTAAAGGTTCAGCCTTTGCTCATTTCACTCCTCCTCCTATTGAGTGTTTTTGTGGGTTAATTGGAGTGTGAAAGCCCCTGATCTCAACTGGTGTTTGCCCTCTGCTTCAACACAAGCCGATTATCTTGATTTATATCTAACAAGCGTTGTGTTCTGCTACAGTACTTAACGTTGGTGATTCTGTAACCTCCTGTATCATTAGTAGTTTAGACCCTTGTTATTTGTTGGACACTGGGATATGTATGAGAAAAAAAAACTGCCCCATAGGACTTGTATATATCCAGAGGTATTAGAGTAGTACACAGAGTACGGTTTCATTTTTGAGTTAGCACGCTGCACAGAACTGAAGCATGTTCATTGCATTTTACACATAGAATTGATTAAATGACCTCTTTTTAAATTCTGATCTCTTTTATTTCTTTATGTCATGTAACATCCATCAGTCTTTCCTCCCCATGTGAATTCTGCTGATTGTTTTTGCCTTCAAATTTTACCCATTTCAGAAGCATAAACACTAAAGAGCCAGAAACATCTGGTTCTTTAGTTGACCTTTTTCAAAGAGTGTTGCTTGTAATCTGACAGTTTAGTTCAAGAGTAGTTCAACTTAAGGTAAAGACAGTCATATACAGTTTTACAGAAGATGCAATTGTTGTTTTTGCAGCCATAAAACAGAAATATTAGTGGCATCCCTTTTTAGTGTTTTTGTAACATATCATTATAATATCAATCACAAATGACAAAAAAGTGTTAATCATTAATGAAGCAGTTAAAAGGACAAAAATCTTACAGTCATCACAATATCTGCGTTTAAGTGGATAATTATTTACAAAATACTACTTTGCTACTTAAGAGAGAAATTATCGGCCTTGTCACACCATTGCTGTTGTAGACATTGCTCAATTCTTTAGTTGCTTAAGCTGCTCTGCAAATACATCCAGCCCACACTAAGAGCCAGTCAGTGCAAACGTCAGCAGCTACTATGAATAACACTTTCAAAACTAAGGAGACTGTTCATGCGCCCTGAGGCGAATAAAATTGAATTGAACTGTTAACGGAGAACGATGCGTTCAGGATCTTCACTGCTGACATGTGAGTTTAGACAGGAAGGAATCGATGACCTAAAGGGCAAAAAGATGTACATAAAATGCAAAAACATAAACACACACATATATACACATGTGACTAACAGTGTTAAATTCTGCATGTTTACCTTTGCCATGTCTCCTGCAGGTCCTGGAACAGACTTCAAAAAGGGTTCCTGCTGCCACAATTCCCATAACTGCTGATTAAAAACTTGAAAGTTTCTGCAACAAAGGAATAAATCATACAACTCTGGCAAATTAATGTCAAAAGATTGTGCTTTTTTTTTTTTTAAATTAAAAATAAATATATTAAACTTACTCATCCAGCAGAGAGTTTGTTGAGCCACTGAAGCCACTATCTTTTAGATCCTCCCACCAGTTTTTTAAAACTGAATTTACCCACTTTAGGCCAACAGTAAGATGCCTATAAAAGAAAATACAAAAAATAATTATCCTGCTGCTAAACACAATGTTATTGTACATGTGTAAAGTGTTTTATTCAGCAGGATTACTCACTCTTCATATTGACTGCTGAGGACTTTGCTAACTAAAGGAAAGAGGTCGACACAACAGCCGATGGTTATCTTTGAAGAATCCTCATCAATGCTGCAGGGAAAATATAAAAATTATTGTAGTAACACTATAATCTCAGTGTTACTAGGATATTTGCAAAACTCAGTGCTCACCATTTGCTTATGAGGGGGAGAAAGTCAACAAACACACCAGTATCTTGGATACTGTACAAAAAATATGATGTAATCAAACTTTGGAAATACTAGCAAACAAGCATTGGCGCATGTTTGAAAGCAGCCGCACGGCGCACACCTCAGAAAGTATGTCAGCAGCTCTCCAACATTTCTCTGCCACAACGTTAAAGCCACTTTGAGTCTTAGATTTCTTCCAAAAAGCACGTCAGTCAGCGTGTTGTGATCCCTCGTGAGCTGGAAAACATAGTCAGCTTTAAGTAGTTTCAGCTGCGTGTTTGCAAGAAAAGTAATTCATAAAACAATGCAAACGTCTTACTGACCTCAGTCAGTACACAGTAGTCAGCCTCTTCACAACCAGTTCTATCAGTTCCTTGGTTGTTATTGATATTATTGACATGAAATGGGAAATCCCAGGGGTCCATACTGAAAATATCCTGCTGTGTGCCCTGCAAGACTTTTGTTTCATTTTCCTTGTTTGGAGCATCACAAGTTCTCCCAGACCCAAGCTGCTTTCTTCGAGCCACAGTCAGATGATGAGTCTTCCTTTTACATGACACTACCCGCTTCACTCTGCCTGGGTTGTTCCCAGAGCGGCTAACCGGGTATCTGGATGGGGTAAAATTCCAAATATAGCTTTTAATCAAAAACAAATGGCTGTAAAAAAAATGCAAAACAGGCAGGAAATACCTCTTTTTGTTGCACTCTTCATTTGCAGCATCATCCGCCTGAATTTAAAAAGACAAAACATGGCGATGCACAAACACAGCTAGAGGCATAAAAAGCACCAGGAACCAGAAATAGATTTGTGCAACATAATGACCAACCCAGCTCACCTGTTTTGTGTTTCTCCCTTTAGGATAGCTCACTTTGTACTGTGCTGCATCATGATGCAAGCGATCCTCAACATTTTGGCTCTCTGCATCTTCAGTGTTGGGGTCCATTATATCTAAAAAGAAAGGATATATGAATGAGTTAACAAATTTATAAACACGACAAAATACATACATACTTCACTGAACTATAGAGCCTTTGCCTGAAAATCATCTAAGATCAACTTAATGTATTATTTATATAATTTTTGCTCATTTCCTAACTTTTACCATTTTTGTAAGACAAGATAAAAACTTTTAAGGCGATTAAAAAATGCATATCACAGGATTTTAGAGGTTAACAGTGTATGAATCTTGTGTTTCTGGCCATAAATGGCTACACATTGTGGACAGTGTAAACATTATCTTGTCCCCACAACATACGGGCTACACATGTCCAAATACACCGTTTACCACTGTAAACAAAGTAAGATAGTAATAATACATTTTTGCCAGTAAATCAATCATTAATTATTCATCTAATATTCTGTTTATAACGCGACACGCTGAAAAACAACATCTCCCACAATCCACTCGGCCATTGTTATCGTTCTGCACATGACGTGGTCAGGAAGCGCTCTCCAGCCAAAACAGCTGGTTGAGTTTAGCTTAGCTGTAACTCTTTGAAGTTTTTATTTTTCTGAATATATGTAATTTATTCAGAACAGAAGTCGTTTGCGCTTTTGGAGACGATCATTCACTGCCTTTAGCTTAACTGTAAGTGTTGTACAGAGGCATGAATTTCTTTGTTTCCTATTGCACTTAATGCAAAGTATTAGCTTTGAATTATCGCTAACAAGTAATTAAGCCAGGTAGCTAACAGTCAGGTAGCTAACAGCTAACCAGACAAAAAGAAAGAAGCTTTTTAATTGTGTTCCAACCAGCGGTCGAGGAAATACATGTGAAAATAAATGCGTCAGAGCATTTAAAGTGAAATAAATAAACAAACCTGTAAGCGTTCACAGTAAATATGATGTACTCACTTTGCGCTGCTTCTCCAAACAGAGATATGACAGTTAAACACTTTGATTCTTTTTACGCAACTAGCCGGCGGTACCGCCCATCATTGGAGAATAAAGCAGCCTATTCATCATTCAGCTGTTGGACTGTGCACCCTCTATCGGCTATTGACACAGTGTTGGTGCACGTTTCACAACCAAAACACACAGCTAAGAGAATCGTCAATGATCAGCCTAACTGACAGTTAATGTAACTGATAGATCAGATCAGCTGGTATAGTAGATTTTGACTCAATTAAAAAGCACGATTTTGTCTTCATGGGCTGTGACACTGATAGTGTCTTTGTTCTGGTAAGTCCAGCATAGCAGCTGCTTGCCTTTGCATTTAATTGATCTGAGGCAAGCCATAGCATGTGTGCTTACCTCTTCTGTCTTTCACTGCAGTACTGCACAATGAAAAGCAACATCACATGCTTTTATTGTCACATCATCTATTTCTAAACTTGTTGCTGACTCTGCTGTTTTGGTTCTGCAGTTTCATGGGCTGAATGGAGGTTAACTGATTTGGACATACTCAACAGAGACCAAAACACAGTATGTGACTTTGTTTATCCTAACTACTCAGCATGTGTAAACCTCCCCTGAGGTCATGTCATTTACTGGAAGGCTTTAAATATCGTCAATATTTCCACATTTTTTTATACTAGTGCCTTTAGAGTCATGTGATTTTTGTTATGAGAAGTCGGAGATCATGTGATTCAAGTGAGTGTGTGTGTGTGTGTGTGTGGCTTCTTTAATCAGACGTTTGTTCCCTGAGGTCCAGCATTAAAATGTCGCCTGTTCACGCTGCCTGTGCTTTGCTATTTGCTGCACCCCTGCTGGTGCTCAGTGTTCCTCCTATTTGGACCCAGCCAGAACAGGTGCACCTCTCCTATGGAGGTAAGTGTTTGACCTTTTCCACCTGACACATGTGGGATACAGTTTTTCCCCTTGGTCAAAGGAGCTTGCAAAGAAAAGCGTCTGGACTTCTTTAAGTTGCTTGAAGACGTTTCACCTCTCATCCGAGAAGCTTCTTCAGTTCTAAGGTCAAATGGTGGAGACCCACACCCAGTTTCACACCTTGGCTCAGGCGATTAGAGGATCCTCAGGGGTCCTTTTGTCCCTCTTTGGGGGGAAACTCCTACTAGGTTTAAATCTGGGACTCTCCACCATTTGACCTTAGAAGAAGCTTCTCGGATGAAACGTCTTCAAGCAACTTAAAGAAGTCCAGACGCTTTTCTTTGCAAGCTCCTTTGACTACGATGACCTGGATGACTGAGAACCTTCACAGACATATTTTTCCCCTTTGAAATACACACAAGTATCCAGGTCACTTGCAGATTTACAGATGTTTTGTACAAATTGCTCAATATTCTGTTAACTGACTACATCTGACTTTTTTTCAGGCAGGTTCACAGAAATATTCCCTGACTGTATTTTTTGTCATGTAGGTTGAGGACACCGTTTAATTACCTAAACTTCCAAACCTGTATCTAATGCAGCATAAAAACCCTTTTGTTCTTTTCTTATGAAGGTGAAACATGTGGTACTCATTATTGAACTGATGTCTTTATGCAAGTACCTGGCCAACTCAAGTCTGCCTTTATAATGCTTCATCTTGCCAGCAGCAAGATCAAAAGTTCCACTCTTGTAAAGTCAGCTTTTTCACATCAGCATCTTTTGGCTTTAATAAATGCACCAGTAAGTGTATCCAATGTTCCTGTCAGACAAATCTGCATCACATTTCAAATAAATGGACTTTTCTTCTTCAGGAATGCCAGGCACTATGGTAGTGACCTGGACAACCTTCAATGACACAGAGAGCAAGGTGGAGTATAGCCTTCTGGGGGCTCGGCTCTTTGAGATGAGCGCCATAGGACACGCGACTCTGTTTGTTGACTCGGGAACGGAAAAGAGGAAGATGTTCATTCACAGGGTCACACTCAGAGGCCTCAAGCCGGCAGCTTCGTATGGTGGGTGGAGTTTTTATATAGCTGACATTAGGGTGGCTGTATCTGTAGGTCCTTTATTAATTAGATGGTTGGTGGTTTGATCCCTAGCTGCTCCAGTGAGTATGCCTAAAATACTGAAACCCACCTTGGTGTGTGAAGGTTAGATAGAAAGCACTTAGGTAGAAAAAATGCTTGTACGTATGGATGAATGAGGGATGTTATATAAAGCTTTACTTTAAGTACTCATGTAGAGTAGAAGAGCACTCTATACAAACAAATCTATTCTCCATTTAGCTTTTGGCTCTCACACCATCTCATGGATCACTTAACTGTGAAACTTTTTTCCTACATTTTTTTCCAGTCTACCACTGTGGCAGTGAAGAAGGCTGGAGCGACGTGTTCTTCTTCACTGCTCTTAATGACAGCACTACGTCCAGTCCCAGGTTTGCTTTGTATGGTGACCTCGGCAATGAGAACCCCCAGTCTCTGGCTCGACTGCAAAAGGAAACTCAGCTCGGAACGTACGATGTCATCTTACACATAGGTAACTTCTACCCTTCTAGATATTTTATCATTCATCATTGTAAAAGAGGCATTAAGTTATATAAACCGCAGCTTAAGGCATTAGTCATCCACAGCTTGTATTAACATAAATCAAATCAATTAAGCCAGCTGACATCCGACAGAGATATCTAATGAGGAGGCAATATATCATTGTGGTAATTACTGTAATTACCATAATAACACATAGTCATCATTTGCACTTATTTGCTTTGAGCATTATGGGATGGATTCTGGTCACTAGCCTGCTATTCATCACTTCACTGATTAAACTGCAGAGTGTAGGTTTTTGTTGTGCCAAAGAACCTAGTTTTGATTCACTGGATCGCCAGCTTTTATAATCTCTCCATTTTTAAAAATAGGAAATAATGTTTCTTACATTTTTATTTCTCCTCAATGTAAACACTAAGTGAACTACCTCTCCCGCTGGTTCAAGAAGGCACAGCAGCACAATTTGCAACACAACTTGCTGAGGGGGTTAATAATATATTAGTTCTTAAATATAGACATCTGAGTGATCTTAATGCTGTGAAGTCATAATGTATGAATAATGGGTGAAGCACTGCATTTAGTTATTTTGTACCAGTCAAATGTCATTCATAGATTTTGTGTTTGTGTAATATTGGTAATATTAAAAGTGGGGAAAAAAACCTTTACCTCACATTTTGCAATATTTCGCTAGATATTCTATTTGGTACAGTGACATCAAATATCAATATTTTGTTAAATAATTCACGAACAAGAACGCTCATGTCATGCACCACCAACCTGAGAAAATGTTACATTAAACTGGTTCAATCAAAAAACCATCCTCCTAATTCAGAGCAAGCTAATGGCTCAGAAACAAAAACACAAATATCAATTTTTGTGAAAAAAAAATCACGAAAGAAAAAAGGAAAATGCATGAAAATCATCAAATAATAATCAACCAATCCTTGAAATCTAGTTCCTTCAATAAAAAACAGTAAAGTGTAACCATATTGGCCTTTAAGTTGACATTTCTTGTTCTTGAGTTAAAAAGAGTCAGGATATCTAAGGATCATCTGAAGTTTAAAGTGAAAGAGAGCAGCTGTTGACAAATGGCGCTTTATCACAAGCAGTTACACAAAGTTAGAGATCAGCAGATTTATGTACATCTCTGCTTCAAATACCAGTTTACATTTTTCAAGTGTGATGACTGATGGCTTAAAATGGTTTATTTATACTTTTACAATAATTCTGTCATCGCTGGACATGTTTGCTGTTGTTCAACATCTAAATCACCAAACTGTCGAAGCAGTTCTTGTAAAGACTGGTGCAGCGATCGTGTCTGTGCCGGGAATAAGAAGATGGAGAGAAACTGTTTGATTTAGTTTCCCATAATAACAGAAAGCAAGGAAAAGCAAGATGATGTAATCCCCCGTGAAACTATAAACTGTCATTTATACATTTTGGGGTTTTGATGATAGGCACAGTCAGACTAGTTGTCTCCCAGTTTCTAGCTGCGTTGTGGTTTTAGCTTCATTATGTTCAGCTTCTTTATATCTAACACTAGAAACGAAACAGCAAAATGCCAAAACTACGTAAGAGTTCAGCTCTCTTGAAATAAATTCTGACAATATAAATCTAGTGAAGCTGATTAGATGGTACTGCTTGGGGAAACTTAATCTGCACATCTTGTTTTTACATTATGCTGGCAAAGAGTAAAAATCATGTAAAAGATTCTAATCTATAGATTTTATGTGCTTGTTTTACAGGAGACTTTGCCTATGACATGCATGAGGTAATTTACCCTTCTATCTTTCCAGTCTTGTGAAATGTGATCAAACCTGCACCTAGTTTCAATTAAGGTCACTGACAGCAAAGTTCTTATACTCTTAAAATCACTCTGATATATCCCTGATTCCAATAAGACAGAAGAGATAAGCCACTTTACCTTTCTCTACTGCACACCACTGTTTGTCCTCAGGGCATGTGAGAGCTTTCAGCTGTGGTTGGGACATTAGCATTGCTGTGAAACGCCTTAAGCCCGCAGTGAAAGATGAGAGTACGGATTGTGTCGCCCAAGTATTTCATGAATAAAAGTGGTGCTACTCAAAACCACAGATCTTAAGTCCCAATAACATATTGGCTCATATGAAATCCTCACAGCTGTCACCTTTCATATTAGAGGACATAACCTTGTCTCGGATGCTAATATCATTTCCCTTAAATAACTTTGCGCGTTATTAATGCTGTTTTTTAATAGGGAGAGAATGTAAAATGCAATCATCAGGCTGCTGCAAAAATTAATAACCATAATTCATCTGAGCTGTGTTCTCAGCTGGAATGTGCAGGCACCACCTGCGGCTTCGCTGATATTATAAATAGAAAAACAGAGAGAGAATTTAGCCTGAAAGGTCGTTAATGGCTGTGGCAGGTAAAAGCCATCAGAGGAGAAATGAACCGCGGTGTGCTTTGAAAGCACCGCAGACAGTATTGGGATATTTAAGACGAACTCTTCAAGTTCCATTGAGGTTTATTTGGTAGCCTGTGCTACGTTCCTGAAGCATTCTGGAAAATGGACTGAATGTGCAAAAATGAACACTGTCTTAACAGGAAGTTCTTTGACATCATGTTTAATGGCTCAATGACACTGTGTGATTCCAGGATAATGCCAGGATTGGGGACGAGTTCATGAGGCAGATCGAGTCCATAGCTGCCTACGTGCCCTACATGACCTGTCCCGGCAACCATGAAGCTACATAGTAGGTGAAATTCAACTGAATCTCTCTGCTGTCTCTCTCATTCATACGATGCATCCATAGGTGGAAGTCAGGCACACGTTCATTACAAAAACACGTTCTTTCTCACACAGCGTCTGTTTGTCTGCTGTCTGCCTTCAGCTCTGTTTTTCTTTTTCTTTATATTTGCACCACATTCTGCTCACAGAGCCAGGAGTGTAATTAATGGGTTTTGGACAGAAAAACAGCAGTGCATGCTATATCTCAAGGCTAGCCCCATCAGCTGCACTTTTTCTTCTGCAAAATAGAGAGCACACTCGGTTAGTCCTGAAAAGTCTTTACTGTACCGTTTGAACAGATGGGAGCTATTTTTGTCTCCGAAGTCTGGAGCAGCATTAGGAGCCACCAAGTTCTAAACAAGTCAACACTGTCCAAAACTAACATTAGTCTGACTGGGAATCATCAGCTTAATATCTGTTTTTGAGTTTCCAGAGATGGCCTGCGGTGGTGGGAACTGTCAGTATTTTCACTCACGGTTACCAAATGTGCTCTTTGCATCTGAGTGTGGGAACTTATCTGGATGAAAACACAAGACAAAGCCTTAGTTAAATGGTAAAATCTTAAATTAAAGTAAACTATTTCATAATTTTTCAAACAAAACCCTGAAACATTGCTTCTTCTAGCTTCTTAGATGTCAGGTTTTACAGCTTTCCCTGATTTTATCTATAACACTTTAGTAAATCACATATAATAAAGGCTTTTGTGCTGTTTTGGAGATACCAAGCAGTCTGAAGGAGTCAGCTTGGGTTAAAGAAACTGTGCAGTAAATAGTCAGTGAATGTTTTAGAGCAAAAGAGCCATATGTAATAAAATAATCTGCAGATTAATTGATGATAAAAAAACCCAGCTTACAGTGCGACTCTACATGCAATCATGTATGCATAGATATTATTCAGTGGGTTGCCCCCCATTAGCTTCATAATTACAACTCGACAATTCTCCCTTATAAAATAAAAACCACATTATTACAATATGTCACTTAACTGTTTCAGTACATTAAATTACACATTTCTTAGTTATAGTTAAAGTCAGACTTCTATAGACATTCATATGGTTTTTATCATGAGGATCAGCAGCGAATTGATCCCTGAATTCCAACAACATCTGCTGGAGTTAGAAACTTTCAGTGGTGTCTGATCCTGCACCATAATATTTACTTGCCGCTTCTATACGGGGACCGTTCTCACTCTCTTGGCTTTGCCATGTGTAATAGGACTACTGTCTGCCTCTTTATTAAGGAGCTGCTAACAGTAGTCTCTTTTTCTTGGCGCTGCATCCCGACATAAGAACCTGATATCAAAAACCAGCTCGGTGCATTACATAATGCAGCTCCCCCCCCGCCCCCTCTTCTTCTATACCTAAATATGTGTTTCGTTCTGTGGTGTCGTTCAGAATCCAAGTATACCCAGCAGCTGGGCCCTGCTTTTCTTCCTCACTTTCTGTTGTGCTCCGTCTCACTGTACTTCTCTGTTACTCTCGCTTTCCAACCTCAAAACCTAATGAGTTAAAGGCGATTAAAACGGAGCCGACCACAAAGGTTTTCAGTCAGCATTCCAGCTGCATGAGAACAGCCGGTCCACGGAAGATGCTAAGGCCCCAGTCAAGGCTGTCTTTGTTCACCAAGATGAGCACGTGCTTCAGCAGACTAACGGTCATCATCTGAAACAATGATATGCTCCATGAATATTACAACTGGATCCTTTAAGTTGTCATACTGCCTGGATTTAGCCCATCAGATGATGAAAGGAAAGAGTTGACGAGCAGGGAAAATCTTACTGGGCCAGTTGAAGCAGACGGGTTGTTCTGAATTTGACATCCAGATTTCTATCTCAATGTCCATTTAAAAAACCCACACATTTAGCTGGAAAGATGACAATCTGACTTAGAATGACTCACATTATTTGCTGAACTCCCATACAGATCAATGACACAAATGAACGCTTGTCATGTCTGTGCTAAATTACATTTCCACTGCTGAACTACAGACTTGATAGCTTGTTTTTGATTTAGTTTCAGCCAGTGAATACATTTCCTGTATGTCTAAAAATCCAGTGATTCAAAACTAAACAAAACAGAACAAAAAACCTTTTTCTGTGTTCCCAGATCCTTAAAATGCCTGCTCATACCCTTTTTAGCCACAAGATGGGAGTATGAACTTATATTAGGACTCTTCCTTATTCACCACAGTGATCACATTTGGCTGTGAAATTTCAATCACAGCAGATTTGTTTGGGATAAAGAGCTCATCCTTATGCTTTTACGTTAGGGTGAATGACTTAAGTAAAGATTTTTTGTATTATCTATACTAAAAGATGAAAAAATGTCCTTCATATAATAACTTTGAAATAAAGTTCGTACCTATAGCTATTTTTAACATTTTAAAGGTGCCATCTGTAGGATCAGCCTGCCATTGTGCACATGAAATGATGTTGAAACAAGCGGCTCACACACTGACCTTTGCTGGGTTATCATGCTGACCATTTAAACCTGACCTCGGTGCCCACCCAAACTACAGGTGACATTACTTTAAGACTTATTCAGCATTAGTTAAGAGCTCTGTGATCCTCCTTTTGGGTCCTGAATCCTGGCCTTTAACCTCTGACCCTGCTGCTCTCAAGTTACCCCTAACTCAACATTACCCCTAGCCCTACATTAAACTTGTCAATTCAGGGATCTGCTACCCTACTCTGGCTGCTGCCGAGGAAATTGCCTCTTTTTCCCACCTCCCCTACGTGAGATAAGAAAATAATTGTTCCCATCACCTTGCTTAGTTAATGGCCTGTTGAGAAGACTGGCTGCTGCCTTCTAAATTAAAAACTGTGAAAAGAGTGATTGGAGTCTGGGAGAGCTTCCCATGAATTTTTTTTTATTTTTACTCTTTTGCGTTGTAAAATTTGGAGATGCTGGTTTGATAGTGTTTTAGCATCTCTCGAGTTTCCAATTAGTATGTGTCTGTTTCATGTAGTGCAATGAGCAGCGATGGACTGATCACTTTAAGTGTCCGGCTATATCTAGATCAATAAAAACCGCCATGACTCGGTGGTGAAACCACTGCAGGACTACCTCAAAACTGGATTCCTCTGATGACTGCTGGATGTAAAATGACAGTCTTCTTTTAAAACGATGTCATGGTTTTAAGAGAGGTATATTTAGAGACATGTTCTTGATTGACAGCTGTGGCACTCTCGGTCATGGTGGCTCCTACTCGCTTATCCCATGTCCGGCTCCACCCAAGCTCCCTCATGTTGACCAGAGTTTGATTATCTGGCTCCACTTGCTGACCATGATTTTAAGCTTCAGACTATTCCATCACTAAGCTATAGGTTGATGTCACAGAGGCTACTTTGCGTTTCTGCCCAGCCTTTAATTTAGAGAGGGATCCTCTGATAGCTTGCATGTAACAGTGTTTATAGTTCCTTTAAATATCTAGGACCTTCCAGGAGGTCTTAGAGGTTGATGGTTGTTTTCATCCAATGAGGTATAACTCCAAGTCTTCTGCCAGGTTTAGATGACAAATGAAAAAGCACATAAATCAAAAGAACTGCACCAAATGCAGGGGCTTTTTTTCCACGAACAGCTGGTTTATTGTATTTCAGAGAAAGCTTGGAATTATCTTAAATCTATTCTGAATGGATTGCAGTTTTTCCAGGCGCTGGTATAATCATCTCAAACTACGAGAAAGCAGCAGTTTGAGGTGCTAAGTGCTGCTTCTCATTTATTCAAGGAATGTAGAGTGCACGATCAGTCCATCTCATTGCATTTCTCGCTATATTGTTTGTTCACAGCAACTTCTCCAACTACAGGAATCGCTTCAGCATGCCAGGCCAGACCGAGAGCCTGTGGTACAGGTAAGGGAGCTGCTTTAACAGCAATCAATTAATGCACCGAAGCAGGTGAACGAATACAAAAGCATGTCATTGCAAGCCCTGCACACAGCACTCGTGATGAGTAATTCATTGTTTTCCAACAGCGGGCCCATTTGAAGTGTCATGTTAAGTGTGTCAAACGTCCTGCTGTATTTCAGTAAGCATTAATGAGTCAGCAGAGGAGTATAGAGCTCTCTTAGTATAGCTTACTTCTCCTATCTCACACACTGAGACTACACAAAGGAGCTATACATCTGACAGGTGTGACTCATCGCCCACCACAGGCCTCCTTCTGTCAGACAGTAAGATAATACAGTACATTGCTACACCACAGGCCAGCTGCCCACTCTCTGGGCAGGGCTGCTGGCTGAGAGCCTTCCACTCATGTGCACAGTTAGGAGGCAAAGAGAAACTCCATCCAGGCAACTGTCTGCAACTGGAAACTGTTCATAACATTAAGCACACATGTACAGTGGCACTCTTCCATTAACCCTACAGCACGGACATGTAAGCACTCACAGTACAGTGCGGCCTTTTAAAGAGCAGTTTAGTCTATTTTATAACGATATGTGAGTGACGCAACGTCGTCTGGAGTATTTTTCACACTTTGCGGTTTAAAGTGAGACCTGCTCTTGCTTATCAGATGACTTTTAACACGCTTCCTCTCCTGGGTCAGTGCCGTGTATTATTTTAACAATGTCTCTGCAGCTGGAACCTGGGCTCAGCGCACATAATCTCCATTTCCACCGAGGTTTACTTCTATCTTGACTTTGGCCAGGACCTCCTCTTCAAGCAGTACGACTGGCTGGAGAAAGACCTGGAGGTTAATGACCACAACAATTCCATCTGTCCACTGTGGCTAAGTCCTTTCTTTTGTTCCCACACTTGCTTTGACCTCTTTTTTTCTCATTTTAAGACCAAGGTCATTTTATATCATTATAATATTCAGAATTCTCATTTCAGTGAAAGTAAGAGCATGTTGCTGAATTTGTTTCCCTGTTTTAATGTGACACATGTGTGGCTCCACTTTTGTTTCATCTAGGAGGCCAACAAGCCCGAGAACAGAGCAGTGCGTCCTTGGATCATAACCATGGGGCACCGGCCCATGTACTGCTCTGATGATGACCAGGATGACTGTACTAAGTTTGAGTCCTATGTATGTAAGAGTCTGTTAATTTGTTTACATTGCTACAGTGAGAAATGGTTTATATTATATAATAATTTTTCACAATTCATTGTGTAGGGCACTTATTAATGTAACTCCCAGGCTGATGTTTTTATTGTTGGACTAGAGTAGCTTTGGATGATTTACAATCCCCACAGATAATACGGTGTGTGAAAGAAGATGTTTTAACTCCTTCGCTCCCCCTTTGAAGATTTTCCTGATTGGCTGTCCTTTGCAAATACAAGATTGAACAAAACAGAAGTTGGGCAAGCCCGACTTGTGTTCCTCATATGACAATATTAAACATTCAGATTAATCTGAAGGCTGAGCTTTGGTTCACATAAGCTGGGCTCATTATTTAAACCTTTGACTATGTCTAAAATTTTATAGAAAAATGATCGAAAACATGTACAGACAGGCTGAATGTCTAGCTTAGTAAAGGGTGATAGTGCCACCCATACCAGTGCCTTGTGGGGTATGAGAGTGGTGTTGTGGTGTTAAATTCCAGACTCTTTACTAGTATTATTCTGTATTACCATATCGGTAATTCACTCTATAGGTGTGATGTAATTTTACTACTGCAAACGTCATGTTGTCATTACCTTAAAATACCGTGAGCCTTGGCTTTAAAGAAGCTGCTGTTAATTGGGAGCTGTGTTCCCGGTTATGTAAACAGCAGCATGTTTGTGTTGTTAAACATTTTATTTTTATCACATATTGTTATTTGCAGGATTTATTTTCACAGCCTTGCTTTACACTTAAATTGCCCCTGCTAGGAGACAAGACAAGCATGTTGCAGACTGGCCAGTCCACAGAACCCATAAGCAGCACGGCGTGCTGGCATAATCACTGTAATTTGGAGCAAATAGTTTCCACCGGGGCTTGCTTCTCTCAACACTTGGCATTGTTGAGAGTGAGGCAGGCACAGGTAATGGATGCCTGCCAGATAGTGTTTCACCCAGCAGGTAGTGGTTTGGATGTTAATGCCAATTCATATTGTCATTATACCTCTCTCACCTATGTCTCAGGTCCGTCTGGGAAGGAATGACACAAAACCACCGGCTCCAGGTCTTGAGGATCTATTTTACCGTTATGGTATGCTACCTAGTCTGTGGGTGTTTAATATTGCAAATTTGCACACTTAGACTAATGTCCTAACAGCAGAGCAAACCAAACACCAGGCCTTCTGTCTGGCTGAAATGCTAACAGCCTGTTTTCAAAATGTTTTTCCTGTATTACGTTTCTCAGACTTTTCGCTCGGTTTTAATTATTTAATTTGTGATGAATCGCTGTCAGGTTTTGTTTCTCTGATCGTAAGGTTTGGTTGTTTGTTGAGAAATCTGCAAATTAAATAGGCACAGGTTCTGAGGAACTTTCAGTTGCACCACTGAGCTGTTTGTGTATGCTTCTCATCTATGAAAGGTTTTTTTTTCCCCCCCACAGGAGTGGATGTGGAGTTGTGGGCACATGAGCACACGTATGAGAGGCTGTGGCCTGTGTATGGTGATAAGGTCAGCTGGTGCATTCTTACTTCACCCCATCCTTCATCCTTGCTTTCCCCTGTTGTAAACTAGTCTTCCAAACTTATTGTGCTTTGCTCCTTGAAGGTATTCAATGGCAGCAGAGAACAGCCTTACGTGAACCCCAAAGCTCCAGTCCACATTATCACAGGCTCTGCTGTGAGTAGTTTCACGTCACTGTGTCACTGTTAACATTTTTGTGTGCAGGTCAGTGCACAAAGTGACAGTGAAATCAACAGAAATGCCGTTATGTATGGTAAACAGCTCTGTCTGTGCAGCAGCTGGTCTGCTACATGAGTTTAGTACCATCTGTTGGTCTGGTTAACTCTTTTCTGATGTGGTGGTGAACAGTGCAGAGTACACTTTGTCATCCAACCACAGAGGGATTAGTCATTGGGATATTAAAATGCAGACAGACTCACACCGAGGCACAGCCGCAGTTGTAAATGTCAGAGTCTGAGGAAGGCATGTGGCTCCTATCTTAAAGGCTCGGTGTAATTCCTGGTTAATCTTCTGCAGGGCTGCAGAGAGAAGACTGACAAGTTCAATCCAAACCCCAAAGAGTGGAGTGCTTTCCGCAGCAGAGACTACGGCTACAGCCGTATGCAGGTGGTCAATGGAACCCACCTGTACTTGGAGCAGGTGTCTGATGACCAGGTGAGCACACGAGGAAGAATGTGTGAGTGCGATTCATTTTACGACCAAGGAATATTGCTCGGATGATGACAAAGACTTTTCTGTGTGTTCCAGAATGGGAAGGTGATTGACAGCATATGGGTGGTGAAAGAAAAACACGGCTTCTCTGCCTGGGTATGAAGACTGTCTTTCTTAAAGCAAATGCACTTTGAGCCCAAAACAAGTACTTTTTGCCTCCAAACCAATTATGCAGTGATCATAAAACTTATTCCTGCTCATTTGATTTCACTGAGCCTTGTGCAATTTTAAAAACACCTACCGTACTTTTTGGACTATAAGGCACACTTAAAATCCTTTATATTTCTCAAAAATTGACAGTGCACCTCATAATCCGGTGCGCCTTATGTATGAATTCTGGTTGTGCTTACTGACTTTGAACCGATTTTATATGGTACACGGTGCTCAAAAATCTGTCAAAAAACGTTTTAGTACGATTTTGGTAAGCTACGAAGCCGCAACGCTTGATGGATTGTCGGAGCATTACGGCTACCATAGTCAGGAGCCTTGTGGAGTAATCTGGGTCCAAAACTCCGTCTTCTTCAGGTCCCAAAGTCAAATGAACACTGCGGCATCACTGAGAGTTGAAAACTGTCTAAATTCTTTCATCTTTAATAAAATGATCAGCGTTGCTGCTTTACCAGGTGTATCAATTAAGTTTAACTTCCAGGCATCCATGAAAACAGAATCTATTAAATTTAACAGTTAGAAGTTAGCAGGAAGTTAGCTCGCTAGTTTCCACCTAAACATGATATAGCATGTTCTGACTGAGAGATTTCTGAGAAAATTTAAACGTACAGCTCTGTTATCACTTCCAACATAAATGAAGACAGAAAACTAAACAGCAGTGACGTTTGTAGGGTTACTGAAGCTGGGCTAGCTGGTATATAATGATGTGCTACGTGATCGCTAGCGACACAGCTATGTTAGCATAACAAACACAGTGAAGCTGGAGGATGAACGCTAACCTTTTTCCACTCGAAAGTTAATGTGAGGGTTCCTAATGGTTAGAGACAAATGCAATCGCATGGCAGGATGCTGTAAACGGACCAAACTTCAGTCAGGAGAACTGAGATAATCCATCCACAATACCAGGTTAGTCATTCATATACTGCAACAACACGGGAATAGAGCAGCTGCAAGAGAATTCAACATTAATGAATCAATGGTACAGAAGTGGAGGAAGCAAGAAGAATGAGTTCAGTAAGGTTTGACTTATCTGACTGGTTTGTTTTGCTTAATGCGCAAAATCCGGTGTGCTTTATGGTCTGAAAAATACGGTAGTCTGATACTCTACTGTAAATTTGCTGTATATAATGTGACTGTAATTTACTGAAAGGTGTTCTGATTTTCTATGAACATTGGAATAAAAAAATGTCTTATGTTTGATTATATTTGGATTTTCTCACTGTAATTCATCCACTGCAGTAAGCTTCAGTTGTTAGTTGAACTTTCCTTTAGAAAGTAGATGTAGGTCCCTTTATTTCTGCCTGAATCGGACAGGATGAATCTGGCAGACAAAAATCTGCATTCCCCTTAAAGAATATTTTTCATTTCAAAAACCTGCAAATGCACTTAGACATATCAGGTCTCTTCTCTATCAGGCTATCAAGAGGACAGATTCTCCCTTGGCTAATCCTGTCAGGTTATTGGAACCTTATTTGATAGCACATCTGTGTGGCTGTCAGACAGAAAGACACATGGAACCTCACGCCTGCACAAAAGCACTATTATGCAACTCAGGGATGCTTGTGGCTTTGGCTAATACAGAGTGAGACAAGACTCTCCAGAATGTTTCTCATGCCGTGACGCTTACCAGTGTGGCAGTATTAGTCCCTAATAACACCATGCTGCTTCTGATGACTACTGGCAGACAGCCATTGCACATCTGCATAGATCTGTGTGTTGAGCCGTCTAGCTGTCTGTTAGCGCCAGAAGGCAATTATTATCTCTCTGTACAATTCTGTTGACACAACGTGCTCTACATGCAGAAACGCAGCGATCCATGAACGCTACAAACGACGTAAGATACGTCATTGTATTCGTAAGACGCTTTCATCCAAAGCACATGCAATGCAACGTGTGGATGCACTGATTTTATTTTAGACAAATGAAGAACTTATCAAAGAAAAGACAAAATGTGAGCAGGGCCGCAAGATCTGTCAAAGCAAATTAGTGAGAAGCTGATAGTTGTTGTGGAAACACAAAAGTCAGGCGTCTAGCCAACCGAGAATTTGTCACTGATGTCGACACTGCACAGTGCAGTGTGTCTGGCATAGGAAAAAGACACACGGGGAACAACGATCACACCTCACGCTCACATGCTTTTTGGCATGTCTACCCACTGCTAACTGCCACTAACACACAGCTTCACGGCTGTAAAAGTTTATCTGTGGAGTAGGCCCTCCACTACGGAGTTCCTAACCTTTGACCTTCTCATTCCATACTCACCCCAAACCAGGAAGAGGAGGAGGCGCTGAGTGAGTACAGGCTGTCTAGACCAGCTTGGAGCTCGAGATCACATGGAAATAACCAAATATATATGATCCAGCAAGACTTTGTTGTTTTCCAGACAGTTGTTTATGTGCAACATATGATGCAAAACTGGACGAATGGAAAATTCTTGCCCTAAATAATGAGCAAGTCCTGTGGCGAACACATTCCTCATCATTTAGTTCATGTGATTTCCTTTTCTTTGATCACAATCCAGGAAAAAAAGACCAAGAAGAAAATAATATGTGACTTCAGACGGCACGTTTTTTGCTTGAAATATGGCTTATTACAGCAAGAGGCACAGCAGGTTTCTAGTGTTGTGGTCAAAGACGTTTGTTAACAGATATCATTCTTGCCTTACACATTGCAAAATATTTTTTTAGAGGTGAAATTGTCAGAACGATGGAAATCAGGTTCATTTGCTTAGTTTAACAAGACTTAAGGAGACTGATAACAACCGTTTAAAATACCTTGCTGCTCACTGATCGTATAGATACGTGTGTTGTAAACACCAGTGCAAGAGGTCAAAGGGCTACAGTATGTGTTACATTTGACTGGAATTTGCCCTTTAACTCAGCTGAAGTTCATGGCAAGTTGATGACTGGAGTAAAACCGGATCTTCTGTCTCGTTAGATAACTAACCTGACACTGGCAGGGCCACTCTGTCTTCATGCTTAACTCCATCACAGCAGGCTAATTCTAATGATACACAACAGCTATTTATCCAACCCCAAGCTTATTGGTGAGTAAACCCAGAAAGTAATGAACTCTCCTTGGACCACATGTGAGATTGGGAAGCCGATGTCTCTTTCTATAAAGCAAAAAAGCTGTGAAGCCTCTTGAGAAGACTCTCTAAATTTTCTTCAGCTAAATTCTGTGGCTTACCAATAATATTTATCTATTTTCAGAGTCTCTAGTAGCTCTCACTCTCAACAACAAGCTTCCTCAGGAGACAGAGGAGGGCTTCTGTGTGGTATTTCTCCCCACGGGTGATCAAGGCCCGGCAAATGATCACAGGGAGAGTGGGAACATGTGTAATGAATTCAAGCTTCAGATGCTGGATCTTGGCGGTATTTCATCAATCCAGAGGCTCAATGCTCTTCCAGAACCAAAGTGCCAGTATTAAGCAGCCTCAGACCACCACCAAAGCAACAGCCAGAACAGCCTGCTGTTGCTTTGGTGGTATCGTGGCACATTCTTACCATAATTCCACTCTCAATATAAACACCACAATAACCTACAGGGCTTGGCAACACGGCATCAACCGAAACAGGAGATGTGAACCATGTCTATTGCCACAGTAAATCTGGACTAAACAAGATAGCACCCATGCTTAAACAGTTCTGTTTTTCTACTTGCACAAAGTGAAAGAGGGAAAATACAAAGCACATTTTCTCCAAAAGAAAAATGTCAACCAAAATAGCTCAGACTGGGCGTTTGATGAAAGTAATATTCCTAAAGCCACGAGGAGCAGGTTGGCTGGGTCGAAATAACACTGAAAGCAAAGTTTAAAGCCCCAAACTGATAAACCTCTTTTGGAGCCCAACTGCGTGCACTCTGTCACCACAAGATGTCTGAATGACATTAATATAACAAGGTCAGGCACACATTAGTTTTTTTTTTAACTGCTTATGTAACTCAGGGCCACAGGGGAGGCTGGAGCCATCACAGGGCAAAAGATGGGGAACACCAAGCAAAGGTCCAGCACAGACAAACAGAAACCACATGCATGTCTTTGACTAATATAGAATCACCTATTAACCTAAAGCCCCAGCTGAGCAGGAAGTTCAAACCTACTTGCTATGAGGCAACAGCGCTAACCACTAATAAAAATAGTCAGTGTTACCTTTATTACCTGATTGTGTATTTTCATATTATTTATGCAGCTTATATTGTGGGAAAGCTAAAACTTCCTTGGTGGGCACCAGAGTTCTTATATACAGGAAATGTGTAAGTTTCAGGAGCCTACAGTTAGCTTCCCCTTTAGCTTTAGCTAAAGGAACATTTTAAAGCAGTGATACCAACCAGCTAACAAGTGCTTGTGTTTGCTTTATTGTGATTAGCTAAGCAACGTGGCAACTGAAAATATATCCAGAATGCATGTGCCAAAAACTAGAGCAGGAATGGCCAATAGCAACCACCTTCAAACTATTTAACCGCCCAACAAAGAAAAAAAAAAGCTTTGTTCCCAACAGATAATTATTAAGGCAGTTATATGAGAAATGTGGGTAAATATGCTAATAGACATTCTAAAAAGTCTAATACATTTTTAAAATTATTTGTGTACTGCAATAATTTACAGAGGATCTTTGTCTTTGCAATGTACCCATACCTAAATAAGCAAACCAGCTGGGTAGCAAATACATTTAAAATATGGACTCTTCTCATGTTCTCAACAGCTACATCAAAACAAAACTGCACCATGGTTTTGACCCAGCGTGCCACCATGAAGTAATCCAGTCCAGAGATATAAACTTCAACCATAGACATAGTTAGTAATAGTACCGTATAGTACAGCCAACCTTATACTGTCTAAGGCTTGGAAATCAGTTCATGGCTCTGCTTATATAGTAAGTAAGTAAAATTTATTTATATAGCGCTTTTCACAGATAAAAATCACAAAGTGCTTTACAACACAGGAGATGGAAATATAGAACAATGTAACAGTAAATAAAACAGTAATGTAAAACAATAAAAACAACATAAGAGGAAATTAATATCTTGATGTAAATCTGCACAGAGCAGTAAATCTCAGAGCAGCAGCAGCAGCAGCACAGGTCAACTGTACACAAATCTATTG